CATCCAGAAAGAGTCGACCCTCCATTTAGTGTTGCGTCTTCGTGGTGGTAACTGAAAACATGCCGTTTGAACTGTTACACTTKCAATGTAATGAACTGAACTACTAKTGTCACTGTTTACTTTGTTTTGTTGTCATTAATGTGTGGAGTTTTTTTGTTCACAAGWTTATTTGGAATTGCAATAAATGTTGAACCATGCTGAAAATCTGTATTCTCTGTTTATTTGAAATATAAAGGAAAGTGAGATAGTTGTTTCACTTAATGCATGGAATTTTAGTAGATTATTTGTAGTAGGAATTTTGATATTTTTACTTGATTCCAACTGGGGTATTATACATTAATAATAATCAATCTTCCATGGRTTAAGTGTTCAAACTCAGTTATCTGAAAGCATTATTAGGCCAATATTTTTTCTTTTGGTTGGTGAGTAAAAATGGTCTCAATTTCTTGTACAGTTTGTATGGAATCACATTTTAAAGAAAGTATTCATAAACGTGGATAGTAAGCAAAAAGAAAACACTTGATTTAACAAATCTACATTGACTTTAAAATGTATGCAGTAGCACGTGTAAATCAGTGTGCGGTTCTGTACAAGAATATGGAATGTGAATTGTAAAATGTTTTTCAGTGAGTTCCACATAACACTTGTTCCATGTCTCAAGCAGGTTTAAAACCTACAAGTACCTTCGCTTCTGGTGTCAAATACACAAATTTCATTGCTTTCCRGTTAAGCTTTCCACTTGTTGGAGTGACTTCATTGGAAAAATAATAATGTTTCCTGTTATTTCATGCTATTTCCTTTTTTTCAAGTATCACCATTTTGCACTTTTATTCAATTGCACCTATTAGATGGGGTGTAATTTTAATCGGTCGGCACTATGCATGGTCCATATATCAATGCATAGTAAGTTGACTCAGGAGTTCATACTGGGAAATAATACTATGCTAGCGCCGAACTGACATAGAAAGSACAAAGTAGATCGATTTTATCATTATATTTTCTAACTTTTTAACCATGTACAGTTATTGGGCTGCCTGTGGTCACCCTCGCTCCTATCCCAAACGCGCATTCCTGGATCTAGTTCTTGGTAGCTTGTCATTGCAGTAAATCGAGTCTTTCTGCTCAAAGATGGAAAACTCCTCTAAAATCCAATCACCTGTTGCTATTGTATCAGGAGATGCCTCACAGGAGATACAGGTAWCATTTAGTAACTGTAGCATCTTCTTTTTAGCTCAAAATATCCAATAGAAAGCTTATAAAAATACTGTTTTGGCAAACAGGTCCAGAATGGCGGGGGAAATCAAACCAAAACAGTTGAAGACGAAACTCAGAATATAGACGAGAACACAAAGTCTAAAACAGTTGAAAAAAAGACCTCGAAAAAGTCGAAAGAAGAGAAACGGATCAAAGAAGAAGAGAAAAGAACAAGTATGGGTTTTGGCTTTTAAAATGCTTTGATCTCAGACAGACGCGCGACAACGCTMGYTAGACAACGCAGKCCACAGATTCTCCAYATTGATAAACATCTACAACAACATTCGATTTACTCTGCTTTGTTTCATTTTAGAACTATTATTACGGAGTTTTGAAGGGCTGGAAGATGCAGACGCTAAATTAAATGCAATTGCAAAGAAATATGTTCAACTGGTAAGAATTTTTGACACAATCAAAAAGCTGTTYTRAAGTCGTTTCCTTTTGATAATAGCAGTATTTTATTGTGTTATCAGCTGTGTCTTAATTACATTGGTTAGCACGCGTATTAAGAATCGTATTTGGAGCTAGAAGAAGGGATATGCGTTGAAGATAATACATCTATATCTCTATATTCAAGCAAACATTTTGAAAACTTATCAAGCAAATTGATCTTAAAATTACCACTCCTGTTTTTCTGATAAAACAAAATCTACACTAATAGCAATAAGGACTAAGTAGAATATTGCTTGGTTATTCTGTATAAAAAAACTCCACAAGAGATTTTTTTTGCTAGTAGTCATGCCACGTTGAGCATTTGCACATAATTGGCTTCCTCTTCATTGTTGATGTCCTTATTTGGCTGCTTGTAATAAATTGATTGACATGCATGATAGACTATTAAAACGTTTTCTTTTATGAAATATTGAGACTTTACCTCTGGAATATATGTAGCATATATTGGTCTCTGAAACATAAATATATTTGAAAACGTAGCTTGGAACTGTGATTGTTCATATGCATGTACTCAGCTTCTACCGATAATTCTTTGTCATACACAACTTCAACCAGTAATTCATCATATCATACATAGCCTAAACCAATAATTCTACATATCAYACTGAGCTTCAACCAATAATTATTCATATCATACTCAATTAATCTACAATTGTTTTCAACATACTCGCTAAGTCTCAAACAGTAAGGGTTTATATCATGATGATCATAATTTGATGTCAACTTTGTACAATTATTTTCTAGGCTGCAGATAACAAATCCCTGGAATATAAAAAAGATGATTTAGAGTCCAAAAATGAAAAGGTTAGTGTGACAAGAAATAAAAAGAATTTCACAGGCATATAGCCAAATAGTGCGATGCTTTTACAGCAAGGAAACTCACTCACTTTGCATATCTGTACTGCAATGAAGATGGACCAGGTTTTGCAAAAATTATCCTTAAGACTTTTACTTACATGTGCATTGGTGGGAACTAGCAGTAAACTAGTGTGAGCTGCGTCGGTGTTTTGTAAAGAAACGGTTGTGTAAAAAGATAAAGTTAACACTGTAAAAAAAAGTGTGAAATAACTTACCCTTGACGTTTTGAACGTTAATCCTTCGTCGGAGTATGATGTACATTGCATCAATATTGCTCAAATTTCCATGCTATCCCAATATTAATTCACACACATACTAGGAAATTAGTCAGTGATTTGGAGTTCATATAATCAGCAAGTTATTTTTGTCAATCTCTCTACCCCTTGCATATGGCATCAAAGCATCTTCATCTGGACGACAAAACAAAGGATTTATACCCTCTTGGGAACTAGAATCCATTATTTTGTCCTCCATTTGCAGTTGCATTCTAGTGAACTGCATGGTATCTATACAGTAAAGACACATTTTAATTTTCAAATTTTTAAAGGTAAATGACATAAGATAACACCGTTAACTTTAATCCTTTAAGATAATCCAGTTTAAATTTGAATGAATTATTACATACTTGTGTAAAAAGATAAATTAAACACCGTAAAAAGGTAGGTGAAGGAACTTACTGACCTTTCGGACGTTAATCCTTTGTCCAAAAAAGTAGGTGAAGGAACTTACTGATGCTTCGGACGTTTTAAATCCTTCATCCTTACTCCGGCGAAGGATTAACGTCCAAAATGTCAGTAAGTTACTTCACCTACTTTTTTACGTTGTTTAATTTATCTTATTACACAACTGTTTCTTTAGAAACACCAACGCAGCTCACACTACAGTAGTTTACCGCTAGTTCCACCTATTTTAATTCTAAGAATATTTTAATATTAAAAATAGTTGTCATGATTTTAGTTAACCAAAGAGCGCGATAGTTTACAGTCTGATTACAATAAAGCAACTCTTGCAAAAAGTAAGCTGGAAARTCTGTGTAGAGAACTGCAGAAGCATAGCAAACTGGTCAAGGTATGCAACACATTGATTGTTACAAATATTATTAACTCTTATTTATGTCTTTAGTCACTTAAAACCCCTGTAATCCAACTGTTTGGGGTGGCTGGGGAATAGACCTTTTGCATGAAACGGTCACATGGTACTAAATCTGCCATACTGGATGGCAAAAGAATGTAAACAACCTCAAAAACAAAGGAACGCAGGCCGTGAAGCTTGACTTTTCTTTGTTTTGAATATCCCAGTGGGTATTTTGCCATCCATTAAATCGGATTTAGACCATGTGACCGTTTCATGCAAAAGGCCTATTAACAAACTAAAATCCAGAGACTGGACATTATTTCTGACAACAACATCAATCCAAGGGGAGACCTGTGGGGGGGAGTCAGCTCTGAATCAAATGTGATGGTGTGTCTACAACTGTAGACACTTTTTTTCTCTCTAAGAATCAGGAAGTGCCATTATTTTAGTATCATTTGCTGAAATGTTAATCCGCTATTTCCCAGAGGGTTTGGGTTTGCAGTAGGCGATTTGCAAATTTTGCCTCGGTAGTCACACACAAAGGAACCAAGATGAGGAGTTGTGCATAAAGCTCAATCATTCGTGAAAAGACAATACTTTTTCACAATTGACTGAGCTTTACTCAAGGTGCCTCGTCTTGATTCCTTTGTGTTTGACTACTAAGGCAAAATTCGCAAATCAGCTATTGACTGTTGTATAACTTTTTGAACTCTTC